GCCGACCGACTGGGTGCCTTCGCTGGACCTGACGACTACGAAGAGAGAGTGGACCTGCTAGCGGTTGCACGGGGCAGGCAGCGCGCGGCGCCAAATCTGACCGGGTGGCGATGGCCAGGGCCGCCCTAGAGACTGCGCGGAAGGAGCGGCACCATGCGCCTTTTCCTGCGACGCGGCGGGGCCCCGCGCTCTCCCAGGCGCAGGCGCAGGGCCTTTTCGACCCAGCCAGCCCGGGAGCGGACCGACCCAGTCAGACCCAGCGAGGTAGTTCTGCCGAGCTTGCCCTCAGACAACCTCCCCCAGCGCAGCCAGCAGCGTGCCGGTGGACGTGGCTGCCCCCCGTCGCCCGACTGCGCCAGTCTATGGAGACTTGTGCGCCCAGCCGAATGCCCGCCGCCCCCACTGCCAGAGCCCCTGGCCCGGGACCTGCAGGGGCTGGGGGCAGGCTTGTTTGTCGACTTGGTTGGCTACGTGAGATGCGACTACGGCCAGGTCATTAATCTGCACAGGGTAGGCTTCTGCTGCAGCGAATTATTGGGAGGCCGCGACGTGGCGCCGGGTGCGCTCCCAGAGCCATTCCTGCGGCGGTTTCTCCAATCCCTTGGGAAAGGCTGGGCGGTTCTCGCCGCGTGGAACTGGCCCGGCACATACCGGCAGTTCATTCTCGTCCACCTGGTGACCTGGGCCATTGGGCCAGAAAGCGCGCTGCTTGGGACCTGTGCTCCCTGGGCCCACCAGGCGATGTCGCTAAGGTCGCGATGTGGATGGACGAGGGGCCCCATCGTGGATTTCGTGTTGGACTTGGGGGCTGTCTGCTTCCAGCGCTGCAAGTTCTTGCTGTCGGGCGCCTCCTGGCCAGCGCGTTTTCCGCGGCCCGTCGCAGGAGAGCCGCGCGTGCCCCAGGCACCGCCAGCGCCAGACGCTTCCCAGGTACTGACCGACCTGGTGCCCCTGCCACAGCCGCAGCCGCTCTGCCCAGCCTTAGCGAGCCTCTCACTGGACACCCTGGCCCCTGCGGGCCCGATCGACGCGGTCAGCGGACCCGACCGTGAGGACAAGACAATCTTCCATGTCATGGTAGGCCGCGCCGGGCGGCTGCACCCAGGTAGCGAGGATGCGCGGCGTGATTTCGCCCACGAGCAGAGCGCCATGCGAGCCCGAGGTAGGGTGGCCAAGAGATCCGAAACCCGGAGTGGGGGCCGCGGCGCTTGCATCACCAGCTTGAGAATTGCGCGCAGCACCATTCCTGCTGGCGGGGTTCCCGACGCCTTCCCCTTGGATGGTAGGCGGGCCGCCCGGGCTAATTTGTTTCGCAAGCCAAGGGCAGGAGGAAGGTGCGGATGCTGCGGCAGACGAGCAGGCGCCGACGTGGCAGCCGTCCTAGGCTCCCGAGCGGCCGTCCGTGGCACTGACCCGGCCAGGTACGATGGGCATGTCTTGGCATCCTCCCTGGCAGGCCAGGGCATGCGCGATTGCTGGCCTGATATCGCCTCCCTATACCTCAGCGAGAACGTGACCTGACGGCCAACCAGCACCCTGGGCGTGGAGGCTGCATGCTTTCTAGGACAGCAGCCTCGGACAGGACGGTGCACGGGCAGGCGGCAGAGAGTGCTGCCGGGTGCTATGAGCGCCAGCCCACAGGACGGTCGGACGCTGACCCGCCAGCGAGCCTGACACAGCGTGTCCGATCCGTTGTCCTGGCGCAGTCTGGCAGCGGGGAAGGCGAAGTCGCCGCTCCTGGAAGGGAGAACCCCGCGCCGGGGGCCCAGCCCGACCCTTGTACGGCGCAGGCCGCCCCCAGCAGCATGGCGATGTGGGTAAGGACCGCGCCGCCCCCGCCCCCGCCGAGGGGGCCAGCGACGAACCGGGTGTTGCGACCGCGCGTGACAACCCCAGCCCAGACTGGAGTGACTTCGAGGGTGGGGGACAGGCGAGCCCGCCCTACCCTCGCGACGACGCAGAACGGGTCGGTGCGGCTACTAGCGACAACCCGGACAACCGCGTGGCGGCCACCGTTAAGCACTGCCCCGGGTTCTACCCCGCCAGCAGAGGAAGCGCTTCGCACCAGCGCAGTGGAGTCGCTCCCGACGTGCGGACGGGATCGCATTGTCAGGGGCGACGAGGGTGCGCCCCCTACATGTTGGCGCGTAGAAAGATACCATAGGGGCGATGCAGACCAAGCGCCCATCGACGCCCCTACCTCGAGCCGACGGCGCGTGCAATGCCGCTGACTGGGCCAATTGGTCCAGGGGCAGCGGAGAAGGGCATTCTGCTGGAGCGTGGGGAATCGCGTCGTCTTGGAGCGGCGCGACCCCCGCGCCATGCCCCGAGGGTTTAGGAAGCGACTTCGTGTGCCGCTGCTACTGGCATGATCCGCGCGACTTCGTGTGCCACTTCGTCTACCGCGTACCATGGTGCGACATTAGCTGGGGACAACCGTGGGACCGGCGGGGGGGGGCGCTTCGAGGCCCGGTCAGGGTGTTCATCAACCGGCTGGAGGGCCCCTGCGAGGTAATGTTCGTGGAAGGCGGGGGCCAGGCCTGCGACGAGCAAGATCGCAAGGCGAGAGGAAGGGGGGGCTGCATCTGGGCGGCAGTGGGGGCTTCTGCAGGCAGTTCCTGGCCTACCTTAAGGAGTTATATTATGACGTGCGGGCCTGCTGCCGCTGCCGCCGCATGTCGGTCGACTGGGGAGACGCGTGGCTCCGGCAGCAGGAGCGGCAGATGCGCGCAGGCTGTGGGAAGGGCTCCGGGGGCCAGTCGCCTGCCAGTAAGAAAGCCCCAGCAGGGGCCACCGTGAAGGCGCTCGCCCGTGGGCCGGGGCGTGCGGAGTCAGGGTGCTCAGGACTGGCCCACCTCGTGGCCTTCGTGGGCGCTCGGCCAGGCGCGTGTCGCGCAGTGCCTGGCGCAGCCCCGACTGCGTCCTACGCTGTGCACTTGCCTGTCTTCGACTTCCCTGGGTTCCTGCCCCCCCAAGGTGGGCGCCCTTAGTGTCGCGCTACTTGCGCCTTGCGGTGCCGTGATGGGTGTCTGCCCCCCAAGGTTGGCGCCCATGCCGACGGTGCAGTGCGCCGACCAGGTGCTTCTGGTGCGCGCGCCGCACCCCGTGGTGGTTCGCCCTCCATTCCCTTTCAGGGGGGCCAACCCCCTAGGGCCCTCCTTTGTTCCTTGCGTCGATCTGGTGCTCCCACCGCGCGCTGCCCCCCAGGGTGGCGCGCCCCCCCTCCCTCTCCCGGTGTTATGACCTGGCTGGAACGCCCCCCACTCTGGGGTGGATTCTCTCGTCGCTCGTTCGTTCACTGGCTGGGGCGCCCGCCCCCGAAGGTGAGTGCTCCCTGCAGAAGTGTGTGCGCCGATCCAGTGCGGCCGTGCAGGTGACGTGCTGGAGGTGTCTGGGTGGCGCTCCAAGACAGCTGCTGGGGCGTCGTGCTGGTCGCGGAGGTGCCCGTCTGCTGTGCTGCGCGCCTGCTGCTGCCCTTCGCGATGCCCGCTGGCTGCGCGATGGGCATCCCTTCCCCGGCTCTCGCTGGGCCCTCTGCCCCGCTGGTCTTGCAGCGCCCCTGCCTGGCCAGCCGTGTGGCCGTGCGCCCCTGTCCCGCCCGGCTGTGATGCGAGCGCTGGCCGGGCTGGTGGCTCCTCCCCTTCCCTGGCTCCTGCCGCCCCCTGCCGCCTGGCCCCCCCATGGCGTTGGCAGGCAACTCCTCATGTCGCTGCGCTGCTCCAGCAGTTCAGTTGTTCAGCAGGTCAGGGACCCGTGGGCTCTGCATGGCCCCGCATTTTGCTGCGGCGCGCTGTTCGCAGCCTCAGCTCCCGCCACGTTTTTGCATCCTGCTGACGCCGCGCCTGGACAGCAACGCCTGACGCTTGCGGCATCGTGACGGACGTTTGTATGCACCCACCGCCGCAGTGGACTCGCGTGCCGCTCCTCCTCTATCGTGCTGGTTCGACCTGCTTCACGCTTTCAGCGCCTGCAGCCTTGGCTTCAGCCCCTGGGTGTGGTCGCGGTGCTGGTCCGCGTCCACTGCAAGGTCGCCCCAGCAGAGGCTGGCCGCTCCAGCCACTCATGCTGAAACTCTTTTCGGGGTGAGTGCCTCCTTTCCCTGCTTGGTTTCTGTGGCCGCCGGCCGCCCTTTTCCTTTTTTCCCTTTCTTGGTTTTGGCTAATTCGTACGCCGCGCGTCCCCGGCTACAAGTGCGCGCGAGCGGATCGTCCCTGCCGCGCTGCGACGTTAACAAAAATGTGTGTGTGTGTCTGTTGTGTGTTGTATCAGTAGTAGTGTCAGTGTCAGTGTCTCTGTGTGTGTGTGTGCGCGTGTGTATGTGTGTTGTGGAATACACATGCGTATTCCTGCATGTGTATATATATATATATATATATATATATATATATATATATATAGTGCATGTGTGTGTGTGTCGCGCGCGCGTGTGTGTGTGTGTGGCATGTGCTTGTTTTAATTGCTCATTTTTTTCCTTTTCTCCCCTTCTCCTTCTATCCCTTTTCTTTTCCGCTACTAGTGTTGTAAGCCAATGCTTCTCTTTAGATCCATCCGTCTCTCTTTCGGTGTCTCTTTCCGTCCTTTGTCTCTATCTCTTTTAACTATTCTCTTTCCCTCTCTCTCTTTGCGTATATATGTTTATTTGTATCCGTATGGGCTTTCGGTTCAATCTCCGTGCCGTTCTGTCTGTCTCTCTCTTCCGACTTCTGTTTTTTTTTTTTTTTTTTTTTTCTTCTTCTTCTTCTTTCTCGACCCTGCCCTCCGCTCACCGTTGCCCCCCCCGTCTCCTCCGTTCCCCTCCCCTCCCCCTCATCTTCCGTCCTCTCCCCCCCCTCCCTCCTTGACCTCCTTCCCCACTCCCCCCCATGCTCACCGCCCTACCTTCCGCTCCTCCTCCCTCCTGTTTGCTCCCGCCCCGTCTGCCTCCCTCCTGCCCCCCTCCTCTTTGCTCCCGCCCCGTCTGCCTCCCTCCCCCTCCGGCGCGAGACAAAAAGGGGCCTCAGATCCGGTGGGGACGCCTGACCAGCCGATGCAGAACGTCCTCCAGGTGTCTTCTTTCAACCATCCGCTTCGAAGTTTGCAGGAGCATAAGACGGAGGAGAAAGAGATGCTCGGTACCAGGTGTCAGCGGAAGCGAGCGTTGGTATGCTTCGCCAAGAATGAGAGGTGACAGATGAGGGAGCATGGGATATGGAATGTGGTTGATTGTGTACAACATGCTCGTTAAGACCGTGCGTGATCGCGCTTCGCGAATCTCTCTCTCATGTTTTCGAAGATGCCGATCATCATCGTGCTCCTCACACTCGCCCTCATCCCCACCCACCATCCGTGGTTGCTTTCTGGCCCAGGATGCTTTGCGCTCAAGCGGTTCCTCCTGGATCCCCCCGTTCGTCGCCACCCCACGGGGTGGGCGGGATGCGGGGGGGGGGGGGGGCAGATACACTCCCCCCCAGCGCGTCCCCGCTCGGGAACCTCGCCGGCGCCCCCTGCCCGCGAGCATGGCATCTGCGTGCGGCTCGCGGCAGCTCGGCTCGGGGGGCCGCCCGCGCAGGCCTCCCCCGGCTTGCTGCGGGCGGTCCTCCCGGCGGCCGTTCGAGGCGCAGCTCTGGCGGGGCGCCGTTCGTTCGCGCGGCGGCGGCGGCCCGCCGTCGAGCCAGCGTGCAGCGCGGAAGCGTGCGCTGCACGCGGCGGGCCGCCGCGCGGGCCCTCCTCTGGGCTCGTGGCAGGATCGGCAGCAGGCGGCGATCCTCATCCTCATCCTCATCCTCATCCTCATCCTCATCCTCATCCTCATCCTCATCCTCATCCTCATCCTCATCCTCATCCTCATCCTCATCCTCATCCTCATCCTCATCCTCATCCTCATCCTCATCCTCATCCTCATCCTCATCCTCATCCTCATCCTCATCCTCATCCTCATCCTCATCCTCATCCTCATCCTCATCCTCATCCTCATCCTCATCCTCATCCTCATCCTCATCCTCATCCTCATCCTCGTCCTCGTCCTCGTCCTCGTCCTCGTCCTCATCCTCTTCCCTGTCCTCGTCCTCGTCCTCGTCCTCGTCCTCTTCCTCTTCCTCTTCCTCTTCCTCATCCTCATGCTCATCGTCATCGTCATCCTCATCCTCATAGTTATCCTCATCCTAATCCTCATCCTCATCCCCGTCCTCATCCTCTTCCCTGTCCTCGTCCTTGTCCCTGCCCCTGTCCCTTCTGCCTTCCCCCCCCTTACTTGGTCCCCTACTCTTCCCGCCTCCGCCTTGTCCTCCCAGTCCTTCGCCACCTCCTCCCTTGCCCTCCTGCTCCTCCTCCTCGTCCTGAGGAGGAGGCGTCGTGCTTTCTCTTTGGCGCTGCCTCTGGCTCTGCCTCTGCCGCGCAGGTGGAGCCTGGACGTGCGGCCTGCTCTGTCGCTGCCGCTGTCCTCGCGCCTGGTGCTTCGCCCGGGCCCGTCCCGCAGCTGAGCGAGGTGCCTTCCCCTCCCGTTCCTGTCACGGGAGCGGGGGTGGAAGGCAGTGCGCTCGGCGGTGCGCTTTGCCCGTCGCAGCGGAGCGAGATGGTCACCCCTCCTGCGCCCTCGTCGGGTATAGGAGAGGTGGGCAGTGCGCTCGCTAGCGAAGAAGTTTTCGCTCTCGGCTCTCGCAGCTCGGTTGCTCCTGCTCCTCGGTCCTCTGCGCCTGCCCTCTCTCATGGAGAGACGCTGCGCCAGGTCCGTCTCGAGCTCGAGTGGAAGGAGGATGAAGCTCCTCTCCTGGTCTCACGTGCCTGCGAGTTTGATTCCGATGACTCGGACTGAATGGGTTGCCATTCGGGGAGCCAGCTTCCCCCTCCGCTGCTGGTTCGTTGCCTTGGTCAGTCCAGCTGCGTCACTTGCGTAGGCGCAGGCGGCGGTGGTGGCCGCGTGCGGCGCCCTCCGCGCTTGGGGGGCCCGAGCAGACAGCTCGGGTGCCATTCCAGAAGTAATTGCGCGAGGTGATGATCTGGTCAATGGCGAACCCGAAACGAGTTCCACCAGGCGGCCAACGTCTCGTCGCGCCTGGCCAGGATGGCGCGCGAGTGCGTGGACGAGTGGCTGCCAGCTGTCCTGATCCAGGAGGGCTCATCAATGACAGCCCAGTGCCGCCGATGACATCCCCCGTGCACATTTGGCCGAAAAGTGGGGCCGACTCGGCGAGGAGGAGCGCGTTTCGGCAGTGTCGGCGCTGATGGACTTCGCCCGACAGCTGGCAGAGCGCATGGGCGACCTCTTCACTGGGTTCGACATCTTTCGCAACCGGGCGCAGCGAGCTGGTCAACTCATGATTGGCCACGATGGCCTCGCCTTCCTGGGGGCGCACCGCTGGCGTGTCGAGGGCCCTGCTGACCGTGGTCTTGCAGCGCTGCGACGTGGCTTGCCCGGCGAGCGCCTGGCAGCTCGCGCGCGTGACGGGCCGTTGGCGTTTCGGGCGTGCGGTCGAGGGGTCGCCAGGCAACCTCGCCTCGGCGGTCCGCGCCGCCCAGCGGCGTGCCTTCCCAGCGGTTGCGCCCGCGCGAGATCAGGTTCAGGGCGCCCGTAGCACCGTGGCTGGATCGATCTGGGACGGCGCGGGCCCAGCTGCGCTGGGGTCGGCACCGAGCCCGCCTGCGTCGGCAGCCGCCAGCGACGGCCGCGCGGCGTCACCGGCGCGGGGGTGCTCCCTGCAGCGGGTGTCGACTCTGACGCCGACCCTGACGACATCAGGTACTTCGGCGGAGACGCTGCCGCGGACGATCCCGGGCTGCGCGACGTTCCTGTGCGGCAGCGCGGTGCTCGCCTCCCTTGTGCTCGCGAGCGCGACCCCAGAGAGTCATTCAACGACGTGGCATGGACGACGGTAAAGGCCACCTCGCCATCCTGGCCAACGTGTCCGAAAACGTCCTCTGGGGGACTATTGGACATCGGGGCGGGCAGAGGTAAGGGTGATGGGGAGTTCGGGGCAAGTAGCACTCCGTGCGCGAGTGCCCCTGGCACCGCAGCCAAAGACGCGCGCTCTTCCTTGGCGCCTGCGCCTTCGGCGCCGCCCTGGCCGCCAGCATCTTAACCGCTCGCGCTTCTGCGACAGCGGTGGCCGCCAGGTCAGGGGCGCCCCCTGAATTCCGCGGCCCGTGGCTCCTGGTTCTGGGGGAGGTAGTCCCGCGCAGAGCGCTGGCTCCTGGAGCGGCGGACAGCCGGCTCCAGCAGCGCCGGCCCCTCGGCCAGCAGCGGCGGTAGCCGCTCTGAGCGTGTCGTCAGACGGCCGTCGGCAACAAGCCGGCCGTGGCCTATGGTCACGATGGGTGGGTGCATCCTTGTCATTGTCGTCCTGTCCCAACCCTCGCGACGACGAGCTGCTGCGATTGCGATGGGAGATGGCGAAATTCACAAGCCGCGCGCAAGACTGCGCGACCCGCGGTCCCCGTGTCCGCGTCGCCGGCCCGACCGGCGGGCCTTGTTACTCTGTCGCTGGGCTGTGCGGCAGCAGCGGGGGTGGCGGCGTCAGCCGCGGCGGCGGGTCCGGGGATCAGCAGCCGCACTGGCGGCGCTGGCGGCCCCGGCAGCTCCAACAGCGGCGCCGCAACCAGCGCCGCGACGGTGGGCGCGGGTTGGCCGTGCGATTCCTCCTCTGGGGCAAGGTCTGGGGCGCGACTGGGTGGGCGACCTCGACGCGCGAGTCGCCGCGTCCCCGGCCCCGCCGCCCGACGTGCATGTGCCGAGCTGGGCGTGCGCGCCTTCAGTCTCTGCCCTCGTCGACGCGAGTCGACCGTCTGGGAGAGTGGCTATGCGGCTCGCCGGCCGCGAGACCTGGGCGTCCAGCGACGGCCGATCCGGGCGCGACGTGGGCGCCGCCCTCGACCGCTCGCAGAGATGTTGCCTCGACGAGCCCCGCGGCGCGCAGCTGGCGTTTGAGCCCGCGCGGCAGCAGGGCGAGCGGCGACTTGAAGCCGCGCAGAGTTGGGCAGAAACCCTGGTTAATCTCCCCCCTGTGCGGGCCGCGCCGCCTGTCGAGCCTCTTGCGGTTGCGCTTTTCATTGGTGGTGGCAGGGCGAGTCCAATTTGCCTCGATGCCATCCTGCATGGCGAGGGGGTGCGGCGGCAGCAGTGCCCCCGTTGTGTGATCCTGGCATGCCATCTGCAGCTGTTGCAGGGCGCGGGCGCCCGCTTGGTGCACTGTCCAGACTGTCCAGAGTGCCAGGGGTGGCCGACATTATCGCCGATGCAAAGTTTTTGGGTGCAGATCGTGCGTCGGGGTGTCTGTCGTCTGTGACGCTGGCCCGCGCGGCAGCAGACGGGGGCATGCTGGGGGGGGCCGCGCAGCAGCATGATTTTGCGCAGTCTCCTCGGCTGGTCCCTGCCCCCGGGGCGCATCCGCAAGACCTCGTGCAGTCGCCTGGCAGGGCGTCCAGCTTCATGTCCGCAGTTGACACTGCGGTGCCCTGCGACGCCCATCCGGACCTGCGCGTGCCGCCGCGCTCGCCGACGTTCCCGTTGTGGTCGACCTCGTCGGTTACTGGATCGAGTTCGTCGAACTTGTCGCCGTGCTACCTGGCGAGCACCGATCTATCGGGTGGCCGGTTAGGCGTCGCACTTGAAATTGGCGCCTGGGCGAACTTCTGGAGATCGCATTCTGCCATGCATTGGGCCCGCGAGGCTCCGCGGGCGAGGCTGCGAGCTGCCGAGGAGAAGTGCTGGGCCCCGCTGTGCGCGGCAGGCTTTGGCTACGGGTCACAGGTAGCGAACTGCGAGTGCATCTCCCTTTTCGCGGCGACCCCCCGCGATGGTGCGACCAGTCAGCGCAGCGTGCGCGCTCCGGCCGTGGAGGGCGCAGGCGCTGACCTTTTTTTTTGTGTGTGTTTGTAGGTTTGTAGTTCTCTCAGTCCAACGACTGCGTGGTGGAGACTGGCTCTGTTCGCAAACGTCTTGCATACCCTGGGCACGGCGGCTGCGAGGTCACATTGGAGCCCGGCCCCATCCACTTCATTCGGGGGTCTGCGCCGAGCTGCCGCTTGTGCGTCCCAGTCGGCGTTCGGCAAGCTTCAGCCGCGCCCCAGGGG